GGCAAAGAGAGCCCAGACTCAATTATGCAAATATTTCTCTAGGCATAGCAAAGAAGTTTAGCGGGTTCATTCACACGACCTCAATGTTATCGTAATGTGGATGATTATGACGACCAACAGAGCACCTCTTAGCACGTAATGTTCGCTGAAATCTGGCGATATGCAGTCGCTTAGTGATAGGCTCCCTCAGCAGTGATGTCCTCCTGATCGCCCCCCTGATTCCTGAAGCAGCCTAGCAGCTGAGATGCCCAGCTCCAGAAATGCCTTGCAGAAATGCCTTGCTGATGCCTTGCAGAAACTGCATGGAACCATTTGAAAGGGGTGTACATGGCAAAAGATACGATAACAGTGAGTAAAATACTTTCGCAGCTGACAAGTGTGCAGATGATGACAAACGAAAATGTCATGGACTACGTTAACCGAGTCCGTACACTACGCGATCAACTTGAAAAGAGCGGAGGATACTTCCCTCGTGAGATGTATCTCACTGTCCTTCTGGCTGGCCTTGGACCCGAATGGCGTCAGACGCGCGCCTTCCTGCGCATGAATCAAAATCTCTCCGAAGCTGAGATTTCTTCGTATCTTCAAGCAGAGCAGCAAGATCTTGACCTGCAGTCACAACGCAACAAACAGGGAGATTTAATATAGGCTTGGTAGGTTGTTACTGAACCTTTCTGTAGGGGGTACAAACCCCTCCTTGTACTCCCCTCTCTTCCTAATCCAACCACCTTTCTTCTCGACATTCTCTCCCTTCCTAGATCCGTTTTTCCTCACGCTATTCCATGGCGGCCTTCTTCCTAGTATCCTAGCCAACCTAGCCTCCTAAGTTTAAGAACCTTGAGTCCTAAGTTTATAAGATGGTATCAGAGCGGGAGATCCTCCCTGTTGGATCGCCTCCTCACGCTTCCGCAATTTACTCCTCACTCTCATTAGCTCGAGCGGCCATGGCGGCCGCGTTTTGCTGCAGTGGCGACGTCGCGCTGCCACTGGCCGCGTCGTGCCGCGACCGGCTCGACGCGCTGCCGTGGCGTCGGGCCGTCGTTCTGCAGTCGCAGCGTCGACGTCCCGCTGCGGCATCGACGCTGCCTCTGCCGTCGCGACGTCGACGTCCTGCTGCAGCGTCGACGGCGCCGTCGGGCCGCAGCCGGTTGCGTCGAAGCTTTGCCGTGGCAGCGTCACCTTGCTGCCGTTGCAGCGTCGGCGTGCCGCCACAGCGTCGACGCCGCGCCCTGGCGGCGTCGTCATGCTGCCGCGGCAGCGTGGATGGGCGGCAGCGGGCAGCACGCCGTCGTAACCGCCACCTGCCCGCCCTCCTGCCAGTAAGCGCCGCGCCACTTATGGCGCGTCGCTGAAGACTCGCCTCGCCCCGCCCCCTCCCCTCCCCCCCCCACCTGCACCTGCTTCCCCTGCATCCCCCCCTTTCTTGCTGCAGCCGATGACTGCCATGTGAGGGACCTCTCCACCGCCGAGGAGACAGGACATGCCGCCGAGAGGGCGGGGGCCGCCGCACCAGCCTCTGTCGTTCGAGCCGCCGGCGCCGCCGCTGTTGCCGCAGGCCTGGAGCCGCCGCACACCGCCGCCGCCGCCGCCGTCGTCACTGTCGCTGCTGCCGCCATTGCCGTCTCAAGGGGCCGTGAGACCTACCCTCTTCCGGAGTCGTTGCGGCTCCTGCTGGGAATGGGGGTGCTGGGCTAGGGGGTGTGGGTGTGGGTGTGGGTGTGGGGGTGTGCGTGGGCTTGACACTACCAAGCCTAGGGGGTGTGTTAAAATTATATAAGTTATAATTTAATATAGGCTTGGTAGGTTGTTACTGAACCTTTCTGTAGGGGGTACAAACCCCTCCTTGTACTCCCCTCTCTTCCTAATCCAACCACCTTTCTTCTCGATATTCTCTCCCTTCCTAGATCCGTTTTTCCTCACGCTATTCCATGGCGGCCTTCTTCCTAGTATCCTAGCCAACCTAGCCTCCTAAGTTTAAGAACCTTGAGTCCTAAGTTTCTAAGAACTTCTGTCAAATTTGCAACAAGGGAGGACATTCTACCGACCGATGCTATTTTAACAAGAGGTATTTACCTCCTGAAGAACCGCAGCAGTCGAAATCATCACAGCCGCTACGACAGTCTTCGAAGCAGTATTTTCAGCACCATGCGCCTCCAAAAGCAACATCTGCAATATCAACACCACCAACGACACTCAGTTCTGCCCCTCCAAGCAACTCATCAAAGCCGAGAGCAAATAATTCAAACTCTGCCACTAATACGGTAACTTCAAATTTTCGTTTACCTACTTCATCCACTCACATTGTCAATTGCAGTACAAATACCGATACTTGGTACTTGGATAGTTGTTGTGGCCATCATATGGTCTCTTCAACAAATCCTTTCATCTACAACCGTCGTCGACTTCTTCAACCCTGCCCAATCACACTCGCCAACGGTCAAACAATTTCAGCATAAAATATCGGCAGTCTACTTTTGACATCAATCGATACGGGAAAGTCTTTATGCCTTACTAGCGTTTTACTCGTCGACAATCTTGGCTTCAATTTAGTGTCAACTCTTCAACTCTTGAAGAAGAAAATCCGCACGGTCGGAAACTGCACGACGCAGGAGCAAGAGTTAATACATGATGTGGACAACACGTACATCGGAAGAGCAGCAACAAAGAATGGCGTATTCGTCTTACGATTCAAAGCCGCAAAACCTTCTGAAGATACCGCTCCTCTTCAAGCTCCATCAATCATCGCAGCCGCCGCTTTGGTGACCGTTGCACCGATTGAACTCAGCAGCAGCGAAGAAGAAACTCCGAGTAGCAGCACCACCGACATCCTTGCCGACACACCTGCCGTTAATATCAAATAAGATATTAGTTAAGAACACGAGGAAAATCTGCTAATCGCTCCTGAAAAATTATTCGACGCTACAACTACTCTCGACAAGCCTTCTGACAATTCTTCAACAACCAATCTCGACAAGCCTACAGAAACATCTTCAACTACCACTCTATCTGAGAAAGGTTATGCACTATCAAGGCTTTTACTTCCTTCATATTTCACCGTCTTACTCCTTGCTTGGCTGGCCATAGCAACAAGCGAGCTTCGTACCCCGCTGCAGACTTTCCTATACTACAGAGCAGCCGCTTACCACACTACGACCTCCAACGACTACGAGCAAAGCATCGGCATCACTCGTCACCAAACCTCTCATCATCGCGTTCAAGAATGCAACGAAGCAGAAGGGTTGAACAGTGCCCTACACGAGTTACGTGAGCAGCTGCGTGCACTGCTGACTCAACATATTTCCCTGTCCGAAACTTCACCATCAGATCTGCCCGTCACTTCACGGTTCTTTTTCAAACCTCCGAATGCTATCGCGGCTCCTCTCCACCACGTGCAACCCTCTCGTGGTTTTGCATTCGTCCCCTTTCGGCCCTGCCACATTCATTGGCGCAACCCCAACCACTTTGAACCCGACTCATTTTTACCCTGCCGAAGTGAGGGGGGAAGGAGGATCTACATGCACTTCGTCAAAACCAAAATTCGTCATCAACAAGGAAAACACGCGATTGGTCTACCATTTGACCAATGGAATGACCGCCGACTACTTACAACACATCAAGTTTACACGTCACAAGATTTTCGTTCGCCGGACTCCAACCACGACGTGACTACATCGAACTTCTAGGAATGAAGGGGAGTGTTGTGATAATTGAAGTTTTGCATTCCTGCAAGTTCTGTTTTTGGTGTAGCGCGCAGTATCGCGTTTCTCAGTAAGGAAACAGGTTCTAGTGATGACGTCAGCATACCGCTTCAGTTACGCGATTATGCGTAACGAGTCGTTTCAGTCACGCGAACAGTCGCGACCCTATAGTATGACGAATAGGTCGCATAGCGCGATAGTGACGAACAGGTACATTAGCGAACATGTACTTTCCATAGAGCTATAAATCCTTGTAATGCCTTTCTATTATTAACCTTGACTTTCCACAGAATTATGTGCTCAGGTTATTCAACCTTCGACCACCCACAAGTTCATGTGCTCAGGTTCACTCTGATAAGACTTCCGCTGTCTTACTAGTCTACCATTCCAGCAATGATCCTTGGTTAAGTACTCGTGTTAGCAGATTCTACACTTAGTCTACTGCAACACACCAGACGATTTACTTCAGCAACAAATGTAGCAAGATTGTCACATGTGTCTATGTATGCACCAAATACAGTTGCGCACCATAAGTAGTTTATTATGGGTATGGGACCTTGGGGCTAGATTAAAATATAGCCATTGAGTTGCCTTTTGTTCAGTAACTTTTGTCCTGGCAACGTTCATGAATGGTGGCCGAAATTGTCGTGCTCAAAATCGAAGCCGTACGGAATTGGGACCACAACCCACCCTGCAAGATTACGGGTAATACCACCAAGCAGTTGATTTTAAGAATTCGCATCGCGATAGCTCTGTAATAAAACTTGATCTGACCCTCTCAGCTTCTTGGTCGAGAGAATCAGTTTGCCCCAAGAATAAGCGTGCTCTGCTCCCGAAGATTCCAGGGCACAAACATTTGGGAAACCATGAATATTTAGATGATCCGCGCTAACCTCGCCAAGGTAATCCATTCCTCATTTTCTTTTGAGAGACCTTAATTGCCCCGTAACCCGGATATTATTGACGTTTCCGATTCACTAGCCTACGAAGGGTGACCAAAAGGAATTGATGGAAGCCTCTCAAACATCACCGCAATGTACGGAGACTGCTCCGGGCCGCGATGTGCAAACCGCCCATCACCTCCAAATCAAAATGCGCTTTGAAATTCCAATTCGCGCCACCCCGAAGCATTCAAATGTAGACGTTCGGAAATTTGGTCTTCCACACCCCCTTCCCTCTGGCCTGTTCCTCCCTCCCATTGGGTGATGGTCTGTGTTGTCCCTCATCTCTCGTTCCTGCGTGCTTGCTTTGACTACCACTTCATCCTCCTGTTTTCATATTCTCAACGCCAATCCTTTCACCAGTTTTCAGTCCTCGTGTCCTCCATTGTATGCTCAGCCCCCTAAAGCTCACAAGCAATCTACTAGCCCCTACGCCTTAGCACCTCTGAGCGGCTCTGAAAGGCGAGGCGCCATTGGCGGTGCTCGTTGCCGTCATGCGCGCTGACTAGCCCTGAGCAGATGATGTTTCCGCCCGCAGCTTCGCCCGTAGCACAGCCTTTAGCTAACCCTTTAGCAAAGCCATTAGGACAGGCCGGAGCGCCGGTATGGGCGGTAAAGCCTCGTAGTGTCAACTGTAGCTCTCCCGACTCGGTTCTCCAGACTAGTTGCTTCGACCGCGGCGGTTCGGACTCCGACGATTCTAGCTTCTCGCCTTCCACTCTCGCCGACGATCTTCCTATGAGGTCCGCTCGCCGTTTTTCTTTTCCCGTTTTTAAGCTGGTGATCGGCGCTGCAGTATGCGTTATAGTACATGCCTTTTCCCTCTCCCGTCGTTGCCTGGCGCTGTGTTGCTTCTTACGGAGTAGCGTTTCGTCTCATCTCCTCACGTGCCCCTGTCTCCTTTCGTCTCTTTATCCTTTCTCCTCCCTTCACATCAACCCTCCCCTTTCCCTCCCCCGCCGTTGCAGCCAAAGTTGTTCCCATCAAGTTGGGGAGGAAGTTTGAGGCGAGGCCAAATCAGGCGACAGCACCAAGACCCGCGCGCTCCTTGCGGATCAAACTTCCCCCCAAACACCCTCCAGAATCCCCCCTTCCTCTCTTCCCCCCTATTGCTGCCAAACGTATGCCCGCGGCGACAGCACCAGGACCCGCGCGCTGCTTGCGGTGCGAGATCAAACCTCCCCCCTCAACAACCTCCGGAATCCCCCCTTTCCCTCTTCCCCCGTTTGCAGCCAAAGGTATTCCCGAGGTGACACCACGCCAGGCGACAGCACCTCCAAAATCCACGCGCTTCTCGCTACCAACCGATCAGGCTCGGGATCCAGCCGAACCTCAGGCTCGGTCTCGAAGCGCCACGTCGGCACGCGGACTGCGGGGAACCAGAATCGCCCGCCCCAGCAAGATACGGACATAAATCGGTACCGCCCGCCTCAGAAAGTCGCCGATTGCGATGCCGACGAGGTGCGAGTTCGGCTCTTTCCCGCCGCTGCCGCGCCAGGGGACTATCCACGGGCGCCAGCGGAATCTGGAGGAGGCGCAAGCGCGGCCACGAAGCCGCCCTCCCCGCTCTTCCGCTCGCAGCCTTCCCCGCGCCTTCGGCCGCCTTCCCCACGGTCTGCTTCCCCCCGCTCGCCGGCAGCCAAGGGCGGCGGGCCCTGGTCCGCGGAGGCGGCAGCGCGCGAGGCGATGAGCGGAAAGACTCTGGCGGGGAATGTCGGCGGCGGCGGTTCGGCGGAGGGGAGGTGGGCGTGCGTGTGGGACAGCGTGGAGTCGCGTGACGGCGTGGCGGCCGGCGCGTCTCCCGGAGCGCAAGCTGAACTACTCGTCGCTAGCGCCGACAATGCCGCCATTGCCGTCAACGGTGGCGTTATTGGCGGCGTTACTCACGGCGTTACTCACGGCGCCCATTACGAGCTCAGCCAATCGAGCGGCACCCGCACCCAGCGCAAGACCCAGCAGAACCAGTCCTTGCAAATCGGCGTGCGCCGCCTCCCCTCCCCCGCCGTCGGCCCCCCCGCTCTCCGCGACGATCCCCGCGCGCGCGCGCGGAGCCTCGGAGTGGTTGCGGGCGGCGGGGGCGGAAACGGCGTGATCTCGCCCCGTCCACGTGGCAGCATCCTACTGGCTCCACCGCTTGACGTCAGCACCATCAAGTCCCCTGGCCAACAATCAATCAGCCCGCTAATATCTCCGCGTCAGCTTGACGAGAGCGACTACGCCGCGCCAGCTCAGCATGACGTCATCGACTGGGACAGCGCGAGCGGCGGAAGCGGCGGGGGAATGCCCTTGGGAGAGGAGAATCTGATCGCAGCGGCTGCGGCGGCGGCGGCGGCGGTTGCGGCGGCCACTGCTGCCTACGGCGAAACGGCTGGACGTCATTCCGCTGCTGCTGCTTCTGCTGCGGCTGGTGCTGGTGGCGATGCGAGTGCTTCTTATTATGGCGTACCAACGGATTACGTGCCCGCCCCAACGGCATTGCCAGCGAGACGGCCCAGTACTGAAGCATGGAATAACGGATCCTCGAATGCTTTAAAGAGCCCCCTTCGGCACCCGCAGCAGCACCCGCAGCAGCACCCGCAGCAGCAGCACCAGCAGCAGCAGCACCAGCAGCAGCAGCACCAGCAGCGCCCCCAGCGCTCCACTTCGCTCGGCGCTGCTGCACTGGCAGCCGCTGATTGGCTGCGCTCCCCCACGGGGGTGGCTCGGCGGGGAAGCGTCTCCCCTTCCGCCGTGCATCCGCTTCCGCCGCCCCGCACCACCACCATTGGCGCTACTGGCAGAAGCGGGGAAGCGGAAGATCTGCGCGCGGAAGCTCCAGGCGGAGGGTTGCGCGGATGTGGGGCGATGGAGGGGTATGACGAGGGGTTGGGGGAAGGCACGGGGGAGGTTCTCCGCAGCCGCGTCCGTCGCTCTTATAACGCGGACGATAGCAACGAGGACGACGGCCCCGTCATAATGACGTGCAGGTTTTTCCCCAGGAGGAGCACGTCGCGTACGTCTCTTAACGGAGGCGGCAGTAGGGACAGTGTTTCAGGCGGGAGTGTGCGTGAAGGGAAAGACGATAAGCACAGCAGGAAGCCCAAACGAAGCATCTCTTGGGGGGGATGGATGAAGGGAGGGGGGGGCGCAGGCGGAAGGGAAGCAGAGAAGGGGGGAGGAGGAGCAGTGAAGGGAGAAGGAGGGGCTGGGACGGCTGGAGAGATTAATAGAGGGGATAGGTTTGGCTATCAGGCTGAGCCTCAGCAGAAAGGGGCGCTTAATGGACGCAGTGAAGAGGTTCTTAACGCGTACAAGGCTCTTACTCAGCAGTGTGCCACGTGGAACCAGCTCCATGCCGCCAGCAACGACGTCTCACCTGCTGCTGCTGCTGCTGCTGCTCCTGCTCCCGGCGCTGCGGCTGCCGAAGCTGCTGCTCTCGCCGAAGCAAGCACCCAAGCCTGCCGCCTAGCCTTGGCAGCGGAGTCCGAAGCAGCGGTGAGTTTTTCCCAAGTCATGAGCTTTGCAGGCTCGGTAACCACCTCTCAGCAGTGTGGCTCCAACTTTCGCACCCGCTCCCGCCCCCACTCTCCTGCTGTGAGCTATGGGTGGCCGTTGAAGCATGATGAGGTGAGGAGAGAGAGCAAGAAGACGATCCGAGCGAAGAAAGGGGGCAAGGGGGGAGGGAGAGGGAGCGAGGAAGGGGGGGAGGGAGAGAGAGAGGAAGGGGGGAATGGCACGCAAGAGCAGCCGCGGCATGAGGAGGAGGAGCAGCAGGAGCAGAGGGAGCAGCAGGAGGCCGGCCGAGCAGCAGCAGCAGCAACAGCAGCAAAGGGTGCGCGGCTGCAAGTGGTTGAAGATGCGGTTAAGGTGGCAAAGGCAGCAGTGGAGCAAGGGGCGCTGCAGGGAGCGAATGTGGCGACGCTGGTGGGGCACTACAACTCGCTGCTGCGGCTGCAGAAAGAAATGGAGCAGCAGGGGAGGGCGGAGGTGAGGGAGAAACTGCAAATGAAGGAGGAGAGGCAAGGGCCGCTGCAAGGGCAGGAGGGGGTGCCGGCACCGCAGGTGGATGTGCTGAGCGGGCAGATACCAGCGGCGCAGCAGCAGCAGCAGCAGCAGCAGCAGCAGCAGCAGCAGCTACAGCAGGAGAGGGGGGTAAACAAGGACCTCTCTCAGCAGCAGCAGCAGCAGCAGCAGCAGCAGGAGAAGCACCCCTATCCGCAGCCACAGCAGCCGCAGCAGCAGAGGCAGGTGCGCAGCGATGAGGAGAGAGCAAGGAGGGCAGCTCCCAGGCGCTCTCTCTCGCTCACTGCCGCCAACTCAGCATCCTTCAACGGAACGTCGGCTAGAGCATCAGCATCAGCACTAGCAGCAGAGCAGAACCCCCTCCGCTCCCTCCTTCACGCCAAGCCGCCGTCACCAACATCAGGCATACCTACCACCCACACCACCCACCCCCACCGCATGCAAGCCGGGTCAACCACTGGGAAGACTAAATCAACAGCAACAGCATCAGGCACATCGGCATCGGCAGCATCAGCATCATCTGCCTCTCTCGCATCTCTTGCTCCCCCCTCGCCCCGCTCTCGACCCTCCCCAAGCAGAGCAGGCAGCAGAGGAGGCAGCATCGGGAACAGCAGGCTGCAGCATAGTGGCCAGCACCAGCAGCAGCAGCAGCATCAGCAGCACCACCAGCACCACCAGCACCACCAGCATCACCAGCAGCAGCATCAGCAGAACGATCAGCACCACTCCCGCAGCATCCTTGCTCGAGTCACTCCTGCTTCCTCTTCCTCGTCTTTCCTTGATGCCGAACATGGCTCCGGCACTGATGGTGGTGCGACCCGCTCTGCTGCTACTGGCTTCCCCAATTCTGCAGCTGCTGGGGCTCGAGCTTTCGCCTATACTGCTGGTGCTGGTGGAAGTGGTGGTGCTGGCAGTGCTGCTGCTGCTGCGGGGTTGCCTGCCTGGAAAAGAGCGGCGTTGGCAAATGACGGGCTGGGCCATGCTCTTAGCAGCACCGCAGCACTCATGGCTGCTGCTTCAGCTGCAGCAGCAGAAGCGGCAGCAGGTGCTGATGGTGGGGTTGGTGGGGAGAGTGTTAGAGATGGGGTTACGGACAGTGAGTGGCGCATGAGCGAATCGTCGTTTGATGCCAGCCTGGCCGCCTCAGCATCCACGGACCGCCAGAGCTGGAGTGCCTCGTTGGGTAATCATGGAGAGGGGAAGGGGAGTGAGGGGTGTGAAGCAGAGGCCTTGGGGGGGGGAAGCTGGGCGGAATCCAGGATGGAGGCTTTAAGAGAAAAGGGAGAGAGAGAGGAAGAGGAGGAGGTGGAGGAGGACGAGGATGAGGAGAGTGAGGATGAGGGCAGGGAAGGGGAGCAGGAGGGGGGTGTGGAAGAGGAGGCGGAGGAGGAGGAGGTGGGTGGTGAGGAGGAGCAGCAGCATGACTATACAATGACGCTGGACCATACTGAAGGCGTTTCTTCCAACGATGAAGCCGTACTCAGAGCAAATTTTAACCCTTACACATGTAGCATGGTTGGCCATCCCATTCACCTGCAGCAGCAGCAGCAGCAGCTAGTGTGGCTGGATCAGTTGCAGCAGCAGCAGCAGCTGATGCCTGTGCCTGTGCTGCCGGGTCTTGCGGATCAGCACATTCGTCCCACAAACCCCTTTCTTGAGGTGATTGGAGGGGGTGTGGAAAAGCCCATTGGTTACGAGGGGGTGAACACGGGTCACGGCAGAAGCCCGTATTCCAGTGACGGTACAACGAGCAGGAGCAGCAACATCAACAACAGCAGCACGAGCACTGGCAGCAGCAGCAGTGGTGGGAGCAACAGTGGCAGCAGCGGGAACAATAGAGAGGTTGGGGGGAAGAGTATCAGTGACCACGCTGAACACATGGATGAGAACGCAATTAAATCCCACACAATACGCAGCAAGGCCTTACAATATGATGGCAATGCCTCGGACGGGGCTGTTAGAGCTGGAATAGCACAGCAACAGTCCTTGGAAGTGGAAGAGAAGACGGTAGGTTTGTCGAGGCCTCGTCGAGTTTCATTTAATCGTGTGGTGCGAGTGAGAACATTTACTCGTGTTAACACCCCCTACGTAGATTTGGAGGCATGTCGTTGACGTGCCATAGTTTCCTCCAGACAGTTGACACTAATATGTCTCCCACAAGTTTTGAATGGTTCAATGTACCCGTCTCTGCATCTTACTTCTATACGCACCATAATGCTTGCTAGCGAATTTGTTGGTACAGTGTGCGCAAGCCAGGTTTGGAAATCAAGAAAGGGTAGACAGCAGCATGCCATTGCCAAGGATGAAGGTCAACAGATGCACCCATTTTGCTGATGTGATGTACGTACAGGGCAAACGAAGCTTGTCAGAGTCGCACAAGATTTTAGGGTGCCGGGAATTAAATCGTTCAAGTATTTCGCACTCTTTCGCCACGGGCAAATGAGGCTTTCGCTCGAGCATACGGCGAAATGGGCGGGTATATATGGGGGGGGCTTGTGTGGCGATGTTTGTTGCCATTGTGCGACTCTTGTGAAGCGATCAGGCGACGGCGGTGCAAAGTTCCGTGGCGACGAAACCTCGTCAGCAACGACTTGTCCCTTGCTATATGTTGGTCGCAGACGCAATCATGAACGACTCAAACAGATCTCCCATTGCCCGTATATCGGGGGTTTGAAAACGATTATGATTGGGCGCCAGATTGAGCTGCGATAAGCTTGGGCATCGTCTGTGTTGTGATTCGTCGTAAAGCGAAAGCTCGATGCTGAGGGGCCATCCGCTCGAATTTTCAACTGGTGGAGGCGAGACATGTCACATGCTCTCAAACCTGGCTCGCGGACTGATAGGTTTGGTGGAGGGCGGCAGGCCATGCTCCCGCATTTCCCGGCGCCCACGATGCCACTCCATCCTTCCACCGGATTCGCGATTTGGTGATGGGGAACATTTGTTTTTGGGCAGTTATTTATGGAACTTGTGTAAACACGCTAAACGTAAGTGAGTAGAACCTCAGATTCCAGCTAACCTACGCTGCCTGCGTTCGAAATATGTAGTCTACATTAACATCCTTATGGTTGAGAGTAGATGGTCACGACGTACCACCCCTCAAGGTGCAAACATTCGAGAAAGGAGCCAAGTCGCGTCCTCTTCCCCATCTTCGCTCAGGCTCCGAGTCGCGCATGTGCGCTCTTCTCTCCGCACCGCATCCATCCAACCGAACTTGACACTTCGGGCACGCCCATCACATTTGCGCTCAAACCGAGAATTGCACCAACAGAAGACTGCAAGCTTGCATGGCTCTACTCCCTTTTCCAACTTCAGGAATCAGGAATCAAGAGAGCAGTTTCAAATTTCAACTACAACCTGTTGGTTGAGTTGAGAGCGGAGCGAGATAGCGCTGGCGCCCTGTGATACAGATCAACTGCGCATCCTCCTCGGATTGGCCACGACATGCACGTTTGACACTTCTCCGCTCCGCACCCCCTTAGCAAGTTACCAGTTTTTTCGCTCGTTAGCCCCATCACCACATCCCTCCTCCCATTTGGCTTCACCCCTCGCGTACATGTCCAGGTACAGAAAGGCTTCGCATTAGTTTGCCTTTGCCAGCCAGAATCATCTAGAGCCTTCCTACAAGGCACCCACATACTAGACCCTTCCTATCCGTCACCTGTCGGCTTAATTGTTTAACCTGTAGGACTCACAGGAGATATAGCAGACAAAAAGCAGCCTTGCATTAGCCTGCACAGCTTCACATTGGACGGGCGAAAATGAGTCCACGCAGAGCTTCGTTATCGCGAATACGTTTCCTGCGTGGTCACAAATCCAAGGTCGTCGTGGTCGCCGTGTTCCTCATCGTCTCGGCCTTAACGGTCACCAGTACCACAGAGCTCGAAGAGCTCCTGAGCGCCGACTGGCATCGCAGCCGTCTGCACGCGCTCGACTCGCCCGCACTTGGCGCTCCAAGCGGTGGCTCGACGGATGAAATCGCGTCCCGTGAGCTGACGCAGGGAATGGTCGCGGGATCGAGTCCTGCTGGTGCACATTTGGTAGTTGAGGGGGCGACGGTCGAGGAGGAGGATGAGAGGAGGGCGATTGGACAGATGCAGCAGGAGGCGCTGCGGCGGCAGCAGCAGGAGCAGCGAGAGCAGGAGGAGCGGGAGGAGGGCGCGGCGGGAAGCGAGCTGTTGCCTGTGCGGGACGCGTGCATCTTCGTCGTTGCGCGCGGGCAGTTCGTGCTCGTGAGCCAAGCGACACGTACTCGGTATGGGTGGAGTATCGAGTGCGGAGACAAGTTGCCTGAAAACGCGTACGCTGTTTCTCAGTCCCCTCGTTTATCAACGTTTTCATTTCCTGCCCGTCGAAAACCCCGGTGACCAATGAAGTTCCCCTTGTTTTCCCCCCATCTCCGCAACTTCCCGCAGGGGCTTCCGCTTCTCCGCCGCCGACGCGTGGCGCCCCGCAACGGGGAAGCGGAGGAGAACTGGCGACTGCCGCTTTACGGTTGACGACACGTGCGCGATAGTCCACGCAGGTAACACGCAGGCAAGGAATTGTACCCGTTATAGACTTGCGTTTGTAAATGATCGATATCGTCGACCCACTTCTCTTTTCTTTCTTTTCTTCGTTTCGCCCCTTTTCTTCGCCTCTTCGTGATCCTGCCTCACGTTTTCTTTCCTCCCTCTCATTCTCGTCTCCTTTTCTGCCCCTATAGGCGGTTGCGACGACGGGAATCCTCGCACGCGGGACGAATGCGACTGGAACGGCGCGTCGTTCACCATCGCACACGGCGGGGCGATCGAAGCGGACATTGCCGGCGCAACGGTGCAGCCCCCTGCATGGCCCTGCGCCCCCTTCCCCCGCTGCCTGTTCTCCGCGGCTGTTTGCGCACACACCCCGACTCCCGAAGATGTTGAGACGCAGAATAACCACGTGGTGGCCCTCGCGGCGGCCTCCGCCAGTGGCGCCGGCGCAGCCTCCGCCTCCTCTTCCGCCGCTGACGAGAGACGCGCGGCGGTATTCGGAAGGAGCAGCAGCGCCAGCGGCGGTGAGCGGAGCACGAGCAGCGCCCTGCATGCGCGGTCGCTGGGGAGCTTCTTTCCCGGCGGAGAGGAGGCGCTGGGGGGAAATGGCGGGGCGGGGAGCGGGAGCGGAAGCGGAACTGGGAGCGGCAGCGGGGGAGGAGGGGGTCTGTTTCCCCGGGGTGGGCAGGCATGGGTTAGCCAGCACGAAGGTGGGGGGACCGGGGAAAGTAGGGGGAACGGCGCAGATGGGGGGAACCAGAGCAGCGGGGATGGGGGAATGAAGGGGGCAGAGAGCACAGGGAAGGGAATGAAGGCGCGGGCGCACTTGGGGAGCGGAATGGGGGGAGTGACGAAGGACGGGGAAGGACCGGCGCAGGCGGAACAAATTGGGGGAAATGGGAATGCGGCTGACGGGGGAGGAAGCGAGAGCGAGTTTAAGCGGACAATGGGCGCATGGGGCGGCGGCGGGGGAAGCGGAGGTGGACTGGGCGGATTCAAGGGCAACTCGAAGAGCACGGGGAATGCGCAGTTAACAAGCGGCGGAGGCTTGCCTAGCGGCGGGCAAGTGTCGGGATTCAAATCAGCGGGGAGCAGCGGCGGCGGCCAGGCCAATCAGCAGCAGCCACGTCAGCAGCAGCAGCAGCAGACGAACCAGCAGTTGGCCTACAGCCGGCAGGCGCCGGCGGGAGGGAATCAGATGAAACCCCGACTGCCAGGCACGGGCGGCGGCCGCGGCGGCGGGGGTAGCGGCGGCAGCAGCGGTGGAGGAGCAAGGCCTAATCCCTTCTTTTCCGACCGCAACGGCTTTAAAGGCCGCGACGGGAAGCTGATTCCCGCGCCTCCCGCCACGCCCTACGACCCGAACGACCCTCTAAACCCCCCTCCCAATCCCACTCCCCGACCCACTCCCAACCCTACGCCGAACCCCGACCCTTATCCCGAGCCTGACCCCGGGCCTGATCCCGGACCTCTTCCCGACTACCCGGACGACCCTCAGCCGAATCCGGCAAGCCCGGGGTATTTCAGCGTGATGCGGTTCGGCGCGCAGGCGAACGGGTGGGCGGACGACTCGGGGGCTTTCCGGCGCGCGTTTGCCGCGGCGTGCGGGTACGGCGCGCGGACGAGGCAGCGGGGTATGGTGCACGTGCCGGGGAACGCGGTGTTCCGGATCATGCCGATGGAGGTTGAAGGGCCGTGCGGCGCTGGGCTGATCGTTCGGGTGAGATGGGTGATCGTTAGGTGAGCTCTGGAGGGTCTCTTTCAAACGACCAGGGGAATTGTCTTATAGAGCGTATTTGCTAGTAAACTGCCGAGGCCTGAGGCCTTCACTCTTTCGCTCCCCTCGCTCCTTTCCTCCCGCTCCCCCGCTCCCTCGCTCCCTCACTCCCAGCCCACCCCCATGCCAAGAGCAGAAACGCATGGGCTTTGCTGGGATTCGCACCCACCCTCACTCACTCCCTCACTCACTCCCTCACTCGCGCTTGCAGATCGACGGGGCGATCCAAGCCTTTTTCAACACGGCAGCGTACCCGCAGCCCGAGAGCAGCAAGACGTGGGCCATGCTGGGATTCGACGGCATCGATAACCTCGCGGTCGCGGGGCACGGGTATTTGGACGGCGCGGGACGCGCGTGGTGGGGCAAGGGCAAGCGCCCCATGCTCATGCATTTCTCGGACTGCCGGAATCTGCTAATATCCGGGATTACCTACAGGTCAGTGCTTCTCAACCTTTTCTGAACTCCTCGAATTTCCAGATTTTCTATGTGAAATTGATCATGCACGGATTTTTTATTTATACTGGTAAACTCTTTCCTTCCAAGGCCTCACTCGCTTCCCCCCCCCCCCCCCCTCCATTTCCGCACTTTTTTCCCCCCAAGACTCGGACCTCAACCTTAGATGGTTGTCAAAACTGCACGAGTGGTGGGGGTGCATACGTTTTGCACTGTTTATGTGTCAATTGTTTCAAGTGGTGCATACCTTATGCACAGCCAATGTTTTTTCAGTGCATATCTTATGCACTGTCTCTGCATTCATTGCTTAGGTAGTGCATACCTTATGCACTGTCCCTGTATAAGTTGTTTCAAAAGTGCATACCTTATGCACGGTATCCTCATGAGTCTCTTACGCATGGTGTAACAGTGCATCCCTTGTGCATTGTTGCAGATTTCTGCATTTCTTTAGTGCATAACTCATGCTCTCTGATTGAATGTGCATGCCTTGTGCACGCCACTTGTAGGCTCATTTCTCATGAGCTGGTGCTGGCTTCCTCTGTTGTGTGTGCTGTTTCTGTGGCTATGCTTCTTTTCTATTTGCTGCTCTGCTGCCACTGCTGTTTCTGTTCATGTGTGTGCTGCCGCTGGCATGTGCTGTTCCGGAAGAGGGGGATGCGTGCATGGGAGGCACTAGAGCTGTGGCATGGTGGCATGATGGGATGATGGCATGGTGGCATGGTGGGATGATGGCATGATGGCATGATGGCATGGTGGCATGATGGCATGGTGGCATGATGGGATGATGGCATGATGGCATGGTGGCATGATGGCATGATGGCATGGTGGCATGATGGGATGATGGCATGGTGGCATGGTGACAAGTTGTCATCGGGGCTTCTGCCTGCCGATTCCTTGGGTGCATTTAGGCATGCGAGTGAGTGTGGGCATGCATGCACACGTGGATTTGTGGATTTGAGCATGTGGGTATGTGCGTGCGCATGGGCATTGGCATGTGCGTGCTCCTATCTGCCCTACATCTCCACATGCATTTCCGTTATAAGCACAGGAACCCCGGCAAGATCCACGTGAAAGTTAAGACGAGCACGGGGGTGATGATCCGCGGGGTGCGCACCATTGCGCCGTGGAACAGCCCCAATACGGACAGCATCAGCATCAGCTCATCGTCCAATGTCGTTGTCAAGGACTCGAGGCTCGAGTCAGGTATTTCTGGGGCCATCACCACCGCACATTTCTTTGCAGATTGGCCATCACCACCGCACATTTCTTTGCAGATTGGCCATCACCACCGCATCGCACATCACGTGCGCACTTGTCTCAAGGCGCACACAGCACTGTGGCCATAGGCTGCATGACAGACAGGCATGGTTTCCAGTCAACACCCAATAGAAGGCGTGCTGCCCCCCTGCCAAACCACCCTTCCCACCCACTAGACGACAACAGGTTGGGCATTGTGGGTACGGCTCAGAGGCTTGACCAAACCTTCTCTCACCAACCCCCTCTCACCAACCCTCTCCCGCCCACCCTCTCTGACCCTCCCTCGCCAACCCCCTCTCACCACCGTCCAGGTGATGACGGCGTGGGCATAGTGGGCATGACGCGCAACGTGCTGGTGGAAAACGTCACGTGCATCAACGGCCATGGCATCAGGTGAGGGGGTCAAGTTGCTCCCATGGGAAAGTACTATGCAACAAGAATAAGTTGATTCCCCTCCCCCCCCCCCCCCCCTCTTCTGGCACATCCTCGCTCTGTTCCACTTTCCTTCTTTAGTATCACACTCAGCCACGCCCTCCCATGCCACCCCCTTCTGCCTTGCAGCATTGGGAGCTTGGGAGCTGAAGGGGCGCTGGGGTGCATCCAGGGTGTGACTGTGCGTGATGTGACTTTCCGGGGCTCCAACAACGGGCTGCGCATCAAGACATACCAAGGCGGCGTAGGCCTCGTCTCCAACGTCTCGTATGAGAATGTGCAGATGACGGATGTGACCTATCCCATCGTCATTAACCAGGTGAGCATAACAAGTGGTGTCTGACCAGAGGTGGGTGCCTAGCAACATGCAATCGGAAAGTTGGCATTCCATACACTATACGCATCTGCATTCACGTGAGTTTTATATTTTTCTGGCCTGCGTTCTTGCCAAGGCACATCCATCTCCCATGCTGTGTTTCTGCATTTGTTCCCTGGACAGTTCTACTGTGACACCAAGAATGTAGATGCCTCAAAATGTGTTCCCCAGCTGAACGCCATTGCCATTCAAGACATCTCCTTCAACAATATCCGGGCGTCTTGTAACGGGTCCGATGGGATTGTCGTCAGCTGTAGCTCTACAGTTCCGTGCAGTGACATTTCCCTCGCAAACGTCCGGATCGTACCATCGGATCCAAGCAAAACCCTAACCCCGTCCTACACTAACGCGTATGGAAATACTGGGTGGAATGTGCTCCCTCGGCCAGCGAGCCCGTTGAACTCGCTGAGAGCAGGATTGCCTGGGCCATCTGGGAGGCTGTCCTTTTCTTCTGTCGCTTCCCAGTGTCACTCGGAAGTCTGGACGAGATATGAGCAAGACTTGAAACAGCAGCGGTCGGTTCGAATAGGGGGCATTAGGAACTCGAGGGGATTAAGGCGAGTTTAAATGTAGACAAGGAACTACCTAACATACTGCATTATGTGGATTAATGCTTGTTGGAAATATCTCAAAGGACTTGAGCGTTTCTGAAGTGTAACACTACACGAGGAAGATCACAACGGGTACGCGAGTCAACGGAGGTTACACGAGGGGGTGGACAAAGAACGCGAAGGAACTTGCTTGGATCGCGGAGGTTACCTATTTTCCTATATATTGCTGTATGCTTGTCTCTTTAATCAATCACTTGTTCTCATATACTAGTACAAGGGTTCAACTGCCTCAACTTCCGCTGCACTACTCAAGCCTTTTACAACTGGGACTTAGTCTTTGGAAAGATCCTAATGGCATTTCTCAGCCCAACAATGCTGTTGTCTGCATTGTACTATTAGTTCGTAGCTATTATTTTTGGGGCTTGGGATTGCCTTGACAGGAATATAATTTGTGTCAAATTATACATAAATATATATATATATATATATATATATTTGTTTAGGCTTTGTAGACGTGCTATATTACTGGATCCTACTGTAGAGGGGACAACCCCCCTTCTTGTACCTCTTCCTCTTCTACTCCAACTCTCTTTTCTCTCGTAACTTTCATGTCTTCCTACCTAGCTCCTTAGCTTTCTAACATGGTTTCAGAGCAGACCCTTCCGCTCGGGCCTTCTCCTCACGCTTCTGCAGCGTACTCTTCGTCATTTCCGTGCCGCCGTGGCGGCCATGTCGTGCTGCCATGGCGGCTTCGCCGTGCTGCCGTGCCAGCCTCGATGCGCTGCCGTGGCGTCGACGCCACCCCGTGGCGGTGTCGTCGTGCTGCCGTGGCATCGACGCCACGCTCTGACGGTGTCATCGTGCTGCCATCGCGACGTCGACGCGCCAGCGCACAGACAGCAGCGGTTAGCGCCCGGTTTTAGCGCCGTCCAACTCGCCCGCACGCCAGTAAGCGCCGCACCAGCCATGGCGCCTCGTTGAAGATCCCCCCCCCCCCTCCCCACCCCCCCCCCCCCCCCTCTTTCCCCTCCTCCGCCTTTCCCCTCCTCCCCGCCGCAGCTGCTGGCGGCCTCGTGCCGTCCTCCCCATCGTCGTCGCAGTGTGAGCCACGCCGCTGAGTACCTCTTGTCAAACATATTTGTATATGTTATAATAGGCTAGATATGTGCATGCTAGAGGGTACAACCACTTGAACAAAAACAACATGTATGCCTCATTCTAGCTAACTTATATACTCTGAGATGGTATCACTCGCTAGGTTAGGTTCTCCCCGCCCACCCGCGCTTCCGCTCTCGACCTAGTCCTAGCCGCCCGCTCCTAGCTGCCCCTTAGCGCCCCGTCGGCTCCGTGCGCCCCACCGGCCCGTTAGCGCCCTTCTGGCCCCGTTAGTGCCCCGTCGGCCCCGAACCACCCGCTCGGGCTCGTTAGCGCCTTGCCGGCCTGTTAGCGCCCTACCGGCCTCGTTTGCGCCCTCTGGCCTAGTGCGCCCCGTTCGCCCCGTTAGCGCCCCGTCGGCCCCGTGCGCCCCTCTGGCCTTGCTCGCCCCGCCGGCCCGTTAGCGCCCTACCGGCTCCGTTAGCGCCCCGTCGGCCCCGTGCGCCCCACTGGCCCTGCTCGCCCCGCCGGCCCGTTAGCGCCCTGACAGCACCGTTTGCATCCCGTCGGCACCGTGCGCCCCTCTGGCCCTGCTCGCCCCGCCGGCCTGTTAGCGCCCCGTCAGCCCCGTGCGCTCCGTCGGCCCTCGCCAGCTAGCCGGCTCGAGCCTAGCCGGCCCCCGCTTCAGCGACCAGCCGCCGGGCCGTCGAGTCACAGCGCCGACCCCTCGGCTCTGGCTCCCTTCAGCGCCGGCTCCCCTGCCGACTGTCTCCACCGATCTCCACCGCTCTCCACCGCACTCCACCGCACTACACCGCACTCCAACGCACTACATTGCACTCCATCGCTCTCCACTGCACTCCACCACACTACACTGCACTCCACCACACTCCACCGCTCTCCACTGCTTCCTCCACCTTTCCTCCTCACTTTGTCAGCGGCCGTCAGCAGCTGCAGCAGTGGTGATGGCGGAGTTACAGCTCCGTCAGGACGCAGAGGGTCAGGCGCTTGACTTTGAGGCGTGGCTCATCGACCTTCGGCGTCACCTTACAGGTCAGCGCCAGGACGGTCACTCCCTGGCTGTTCATGTTGATGGCATACTTTCCCGCCCCCCTGTGCCTACTTCCCTCCCTGATGTCCCCACCACTGCTGAGCGTGAGGCCTTTTCCGCTGCTGCGCCTTGCTCGTGCCGTTTGGGACTCGTGCGACACTGTCGCACAGCTTGCTATCAGCCATGCGCTCCCGCTGACTGAGCGTCCTCGCTGTACCACTCTAGCAAACGCCCAGGCCTTCTTAGATGCTGTCATTGCGCGCTATTCCACCTCCGCCACTGCCTCTGCGGGTCGCCTGATCCTTCCCATGCTGTTCCCTGATCTTGCATCCTTCCCCACTGTCGCTGACTTTGCCACGCACCTCCGCGCGCTTGAGACAAGCTACCGCGCTGCTAGTACTGAGGCACAGCTCATTGCCTTCCCGCCGCTGTTTAGCGCTACCCTTTATCTCATCGCCATGCGCCTCCCTGACGCCTAGCCACAGCCCGCGACCACTTCCTTAGTCAGCACCCGGGTGACCTCACTCTTACAGCCTTTGTCACTCCCCTGTTTGAGATAGAGACCCGCCAGCGCAGTATCGCTCAGTCTAGCAGTATTGCGGCGGTACCTATCTTTCAGGGCTGTGCTCCCTCCTAGTGCACTTACTCTGACATCTCTGCTGCTGTTGCTGAGACCGCTGCGGCGGCCTCAGCGCAGAAGCATCTGGGTAAAGGTCGCCGCTCCAAAGGGGGGCATGGTGGGGGGAAGGGGGGTGGCGGTAGGGAGGGTGGCGGCGGTGAGGGCGGGGACGGTGGTTCAGACAAGGGGACCGGGGCTGGTGCCCCGGAGCAGCCGCAGCAGCAGACGCAACCTCAGCAGCAGCAGCAGCAGACTCAACAACCGCAGCAGCAGTCGCCATGGGGACCCCCGCCGCCGTGGTGGACTAGCAGGGCTAGCGGTGGTGGTCGTGGGGGGGGTGGGCGCAGCTCGGTGTCGGGTAGCAGCTCCAGCGCGGTCACCTGCCAGCACCAGCATCCGACCGGCCCTCATCGCGGCATTGTCTGCCTCCGGCCCGGCCACACAACCGACCGCTGCTATCGCCGTCTGGACGACCTATTCCGCCACCGCTTCGGTCCTGCGTCCAACCCTCCGGACTGGTACGCCCTTGCTTGCCGTCGTGTGCCGGTCTTTGAGCTTGATATGGATCAGATTAGGCATGCTATGTCTGTCATGTATGCTGATGACTCTGGTGTGATTGGACCCTATTACCCGGTGTTGCCTATCGTAGGTATGTCTCTCGTGTGTAGTCTAGGCTCCCCTGCTGCGTCAGGCATAGGACCGTCTGCCTTGTTTAGCCTAGGCTCCACACTAGCCCCTCCGCCAGCTGCCGCTAGAGCTTCGCTCTCCTTCATGCTTGACTCTGGTGCGTCTACCTGCTTCTTCAACGACCACACTTCCCCTACGCTGCTTGCCGCCCCTGCCGCCGTCGCACTTGCAGACCCCTCCTCTGGTCCGGTAGTTGCTCGTAGCTCCACCACTCTTCCCTGTTCGACGGTCCCCTCGGACACTCTTACAGGCCTGCACATCCCCTCATTCTCTAGGAACCTAGTTGGTGTCGGCTGTCTTCAGGACCTCGGCGTCACCACTACGTTCCACGGACACGAGCCGTACATGGTCTGCACCGAGACCGCCACTGGTGTTCCTCTGATCACGTTCCTCCGAGATCGTGTGTCCGGCCTGTTTACGCTTGACACTGCGTCCCCCCCGGTGCGGGCGTCCCCCAAAATAGCCGCGGCTTGCTCGTGTTGGTCACTCACTCACCAGTCGTTGCTGTGGCACCACCGCCTTGGTCACCCTGCACTCCCGCGTCTGCGTCATATGTCTCAGCACGGTCTTGTCATAGGTCTCCCTTCGTCGCTCCCTTCTCTCCCTCCCTCGCCTGCGCCGCCGTGCACGTCCTGCGTCGAGGGTCGGCTGCACCGTGCACCTCACTCCTCCTCGCTTCGCCCTGCCACAGCGCCACTCTAATCCCTGCACCTGGACGTCTGGGGTCCAGCCTTAGTCCCTGGGCCGCATCGAGAGCGCTATTTCCTGGTGCTTGTCCACGACTACACGTGCTACACCACAGTGTTTCCTCTGGAGCAATGTGCCTGACGTTTTTATCCCATGGGTCGTAGCTGCGCCAGTCCGCCGAGGTCTCCCCGTGCTCTGACTCCACTCCGACCGTGGCGGTGCCTCTGGTCGGCTTGGCCGGTTCTGTCGTGCTGAGGGCATCACCCAGTCGTACACCCTGCCGGACTCCCCACAGTAGAATGACGTCACTTAGGGACGCATCGGCTTGGTAATGGAGGTGGCTCGCACCCATGATTCATACCGGTGCACCCTATTTTCTATGGCCATTCGCTATTCGCTACACCACTCACTAGCTGAACCTATGGCTCCACTCCCAGCTACCGCAGGTTTCACTGACCCTCCTCTAGACTAGGTCTCCTGGTGACGCGTCTGGTTCCATGTCTGGGGATGCCTCGCTCACGTCCGTGCCTCTGGCACGGACAAGCTCATTGCCCACAATGTCCCATGTGCCTTCCTTGGTTTCCCCCTCGATTCGTCTGACTGGCACTTTTACCACCCGCCGTCTCACCACCTCCTTCACTCGTGTGACGTCACTTTCGATGAGTCTGTCTCCTTTTACCATCGCTTTCCCCACTGAGGTCTCACGGTTTCCCCACCCTTGTTTCTGGTTCCCACTCCCCCGGTAGCCCCTACTCCCCTCCCTCCCCGTCCTGCTCTGTCTGGTGTGTCTCACGTCGCTCCCCTCCCGTCGGTTATCCCAGTCGAGGAGTCGGCTGGCTCTTGTGGCCCTGCGGCACAGTTCTCGCCACCTGCCTCTCTCCCGGTGTCCCCTCCTTTGTTGTCACAGTCGCTGCCGCAACAGCAGCAGCCGCCGCCGCCGCCGCTGCCGCCGCAGCAGCAGCAGCCGTTCGTGGACTCTGGGGGTGCTGGAGTTAAGGAGGGTGCTAGTCCTGGGGTTCTTGTCG